CATCGTTGACAAGCTAATCAGACCACCTGGGACCAATCAAGAACCAATTAGACTGGTTAAAAAGGGCTCCTCTTCTGTTAGTTCAGAGGCATGCGAGGAGGAGGGAAGGAGCCAACGTACTGAGAGTGAGAGGAGTCTGAGTGAGAGCTGAGGACTGTGAGCAAGGCAGAGAGCTGTAGAGGAACATTTGGAGGAGGCCATGTGGAGGGTCACAGTGAGCCTTTGAGGCAAACACTATCCACCTGAAGCATAGGACCCACAGGCACAGCCGGAGCTCTGCTACACTAGATCTGGACTTGAAATGTGGACATGGAGTAAGCCCAGTTAGGGTATGTCTAGACTATATGCCTCTGCCGACAGAGGCATGTACATTAGATATACTGACAGAGTCAATGAAGCGGGGATTTAAATATCCCCCACTTCATTAGAATAAAAATGGCCGCTGCGTAGTGCCGGCTCAGCTGTTTGTTGACTGCCCCTTTGAGCCAAGATGGGGATCGGTTGACAAGGAAAGCCGTAGTCGACCGCTCCCATAAACCTCGTTTCATGAGGCATAAGGGATTGGTCGACAACGACTTTCCTTGTCGACCAATCCCCGTCTTGACTGCCGCTTTGAGCCGACCAACAGCTGAGCTGGCACAACGCAGTAGCTATTTTTATTCTAATGAAGTGGGGAATATTTAAATCCCCACTTCATTGACTATGTCGGTATGTCTAATTTATATGCCTCTGTCAGCAGAGGCATGTAGTCTAGACATCCCCTTACAGACAAAGAGCCTTTCACCTTAAATTCATTGTTCAGAACATGGGTGGTGTTGGTAGTAACAGGGGACTGAAATATGAGGGTGTCTCACTCTAGTTACCGGGGACAGAGGGAAAGCACAGTGGGTTCTTCATCCCCACACACATCATTAAGTGCTAAAGGACCCCATTTGTGGCAGCACCAGTAGATACAGGCTGAACCTCCCAAATTTGGGATTCTCTGATCCTGCAACATCTGTGGACCCCAACAGCCCAGAGGAGCCTTGATCTGCCCCTGGATCTCATTGCCAGGTAGATTCACTCTCCTGAGACATCTTGGAGAACTGGCCTGAAGACACCCACTGGAGGGAGAACCTCAGCATGTCTCCAATCTCCAAAGCTCCAGTCCAACCTCGACCTTCATTAATAATGATGGTAACACAAGCTGAGTTTTTCTGTTCTCTATGGGCAGCCCCGCACCCGCCACAGCACGAAAGCGGTCACCCTCAACCTGAGGCGTGATGCTTAGTATTGTTATTGTAGTAACAGCTAGTGGCTTCCGCCGAGACCAGGGCCCCGCTGTGCTTGAGGTTATACAAACACACAGCGCTCCTTAACAACGGCACTATGAGTGGTGAGACGTTGCAGGAGAATGTCTTCGAGGTCTTTAACACAGTGACCTCCGAGAGCTACATAGTGCTCGCCCTCATTAAATCAACACCAATGTAGCTCTTTCGAGGAGTACATCCACTGATGCACAACTGAATCAATCTGTCATGTCAGACTGTCCCAGCAGAAAAGAACTGACCTGCTATTGCAAAGCAGATATTGCTAGATTAAAAACTCCCTTCAATTCCTTGATGGACAAATATAAAGATCGCATTCTCTCTTAAACCAAATGAAAGAAAAATAGATGACAATATGTGTGTGTTTTGGTTAAAGCTGTTTTCTAATAGCTATCCAGATTTTTCGTCGTGGTTCCAATCTCCAGGAAACAAATAGAATTCATTGATAAGAATGCTTTGGGATGAAACAGGGATAAACCAAGAGTAAACCATAAAAGGCCTGATCCTGTAATTGCTTTATGAAAGAAACTTAACAGTCACGTGTAAGTTGTCTGCAAGAATGGTAATAAATAAATATAGGTATATCTCATTGAACCGAAGGGACCTCAAGAGATCACGGAGTCCAGTCCCCTGCCCTCATGGCAGGACCAAGTACCATCCCTGTCAGATTTGCCCCATATCACCTTCACGAGGATTGAACTCACAACCCTGGGTTTAGCAGGCCAATGCTCAAACCACTGAGCTATCCCCTGAATAAGAACTTCAAGAAGCCAAGAGGATTGAAAAAAACACCTCTTTAGCCCTCACTGTGGCAAAGCAGCATGGTAATTAGTTAATAGTCCCAGGAAATAAATAAATCGCAAAGAAACTCAGTGCAGAGGCAGAGGGAAAGTGTATCCCTCAGCCAAAATGTACCAAACCCAGTGGGTGTTTTCAGTACTGATGATTATATACATATTTAGGAGACGCTTCTGAAATATACACTGAGATATATCATCCTAGATCATGGGACTCACAGGAGGAAACATGCTAGGAAAGGCATTTTGGGGTTGGGTGTTTTTCTTTGTCTCCCTTCTTTTAAGATTACGATTTCCAATACTGAATTGTAAAGTATAAGTATGAACCCAGACCAACAGGCATCCTTCAACACCGCCCTCTTGGACAATCCCATGAAAAGCACACCCACCAATCCATTAGGACACTGTCACAATTCAGGGCAACTGCACCTGTACTCGCCTTCCATTGACCAACCAGGGCGTCCACTCTAGGCTCTGAGCTCCTCAACCATCCCCTCTCCTGAGTGTAGACACATGTCTCTCTCCGCTGCCTGACCGGGATAGTTCCACGCAACATGATTCCCTGCCTTCACTAGGAGATCCACTGTAAGTCCAACAGCCTCAGCAGGCCTGCTTTGCTTTCTCCTCAGCAGCCATAAAAAGTGTCACTGCTCACCGTTGATGCCCTGCACCAGTCCTTCGATGTGCTGACCTGTCAAAGAGCCACCTGTGGATCGTGCTGGCAAACAGACACTCCTTTAGTGACAACACTGGGCTCTACTACTCTAGTGGTCAATTTCACACCCTCACACCCAACCTGCACACCTTCAGTAGCCAGTTTTCACATTTAAATATTATGATCATTTCTGGTTCCCTAACACCCAGAAAATATCAAAAGGATTTCATCCACAATAATATATTGCTTATCAAAACAAAAAAGACAAATGTGTCTAGAACAATTTAAGATGGGTCCAAATGCAAAAAAAAAAGTCATCATACATTCTAAGTTCATACAGTTTAAAGGTTTGAAGTCTACACTTAACTAGAGTCACTGAAAATTACACATGGCTAATTAGCAATATTTGAACACTTCTGGAGTTTAAATTCATTCTGAAAAATATATATTGTCAATCTAAAGCCAAATTGCCATCTGATTCTTTGCTTTGTTCAGTGTTGCTACAAACACCACCTACACCAGCAATAACTGAAAGTGATGAAAGAGAAATATCTTGTTTCGTTTGTTTATTCTTTTCCATTTGGCAGCACTTAGCATCTAGTCTGTTTTACTTAAGATTCACCTGTATGTGTGCGTTTTACATGCAGCAACAAGGGAAAGAAACGCATTTGTAAAATTGGAAAATGTAAAACAAAACTAAAAAAGGTGGGGGACCTCAGGGACTGGTGGGGTAAATAAAGGTAAGTTTAACCGATTTTTAAAATATTGATTTGATTTCAAGTTGCTTCATATTCCTTTAACCACACGGTACAAAGGGACTGCTCTAATGAACTCAACTTGGTTGACTTGTACTCCATCGTGTATGTGTTTTCCAGGATCCTAGCTCCTATTCAGTCCCTAGTGCTCACATACACACTACTGTTGAAGCTAATATTTCTCTGCCATAATCATTTTTACATAGTCATAACATGTAGAGATGATCCAAACCATGGTATAACATTTTTCATTGTAGAATGTGTAAATATCATTCTATAGGGCAGTGTCGTCAAAGGCATATTATGAAAAAAAAATACAAGAGCAGAACAATGTCATGAATTCAGCCTTACACAGACGGTGTGGTGGTAGCAGCACTGAAAAAAGTCAACATTAATCGTTTTCAGGAAGGAATGAAGCTTTTTTATTTAAGATATAATCTCTTACCGAGCACGACATGAAAACCTGTGTTGATTTCAATTTTCATATAACTCATCCAGATTGTTATCAGCTGGGGAAAGTGGTCATGACCAATACCAATGCTCAAATCAGTAATTCAATACCAGTGCAACTGACTGCTGCCCCATTCCTGCAATTGGAGTCACGTGCATACAGATCTCAAAGACACACACCTCGATGTGGCTTATTTTTTATCTTTAGGGCTGAGCTACGAGTTTGCCCAGGAACGTAAGAATGGACAGACTGGGTCAGACCAAAGGTCCATCTCTCTCAGGGTGTGTCTAGACTACCTAGTTTTGTCGACAAAAGTGGACTTTTGTCGACAAAACTAAACCAGACTAAACTAAACATAACGTCGACAGAACTCAGCAGTTTTGTCGACGCTGGTATACCTCATTTTACAAGGCATAACACCTTCTGTCGACAGAACTCTGTCGACAGAAGGTGTTATTGCCTGTAACATTGCGTCCAGACTATGGAGTTCTGTCGACAAAGCAGCTTGCTTTGTCGACAGAACTCAATGTGTCTGGACGCTCTTTGTCGACAGAAGTTTTGTCGACAGATACTGTCGACAAAACTTCTGTCGACAAAACGTGGTAGTCTAGACGTACCCTCAGTGTCCTGTCTGCCGATAGCGGCCAGTGCCAGGTGCCCCAGAGGGAGTGAACAGAACAGGTAACGATCAAGTGATCCCTCTCCTGTCATCCATTTCCAGACTCTGGCAAACAGAGGCTAGAGACACCAATCCTACCCATCCTGGCTAATACGTTCAGGAAGGATAGGTCTATCAATGGCTACTTAGCTCTTTTTTGAACCCTGTTGAAGTCCTGGCCTTCACAACATCTTCTGGCAAGGAGTTCCACAGGTCAACTATATATTGTGTGAAGAAATATTTCCATTGGTTTGTGCTCAACCTGGTACTTGAAAGTCCTGAGCAAGGATTTTCTTCGAAGCAAGACTTGGCTTGTTAAGTTTTTTAAGCTGATGCTCACTTTGATCTAGCAACAAGCTCTCGGAAGGCAGACCTACCTCATCGTAGACACTGTCATTTCTGCTGAAGTCTCCAGCCTTCCTCGGGAGTACATGGACATGCACGTGCTGCAAATGCAAAAACAACAAGTAACTTATCTCGATACTTTTTTAGGCTTACTGTGATGATTTCCTGACATCTTACTACTATATACTGGCTTCCCCACTGTATTATTTTCAGAAAAAAATGTTCCCCTGCTCTGTTACTCAATTGCAAATCTTCTGAGACTACCTAAGATGCAAAACACGAGGAAGCAACTTTGCTGTGATGGGAGCTTTCGAAGGAAATGCCAGAAAGTTCAGGAATTATTCAGAGTTGTCAATCTGAGTTGTATTTAGCTGGCACTTGGAAATGACAATGTATCCTAAAGCTGACTGCTGTGACTTTGGAACAGACAAGAATAAGAATTGACCAACTTAGGATTGCATTAGAAGGTAGATAGCAGGTGTAAGCAAGGAGGGGAGGGCGGCAGGGGCAAGTTTACATGGTATTGGCTTAAATTCTCCTCAGACTCTGCTGTCGAGCCACACGGCTGGTCAGGTAGCTATGGTGGTACGGCGAGGACATGTGGGGATGTACAGAAAGCCTGGCAGCATGAATTTTGCAAGGCTCGGACAGACTTGGTAAAATGTTGTTTTCACATCTTCCAAGAAAGGGTAACCTGAACGTCGCTGGTACAATTTGCGATGGAAGGCCCTGGTGGTATAAAATCCATTGAGAGTGCAGGTTCCGGGAATGCAGCGTGTTCATGTCACGACGCTTATGAGGAAGAAGAGTTAAGGAATGAGCACAGCCAGAAAGGGCATGTGGCCGGAGCAGTCACAGAGAACTAGAGGAAATGAAGAAGCCATTCCAACACCCACTGACGTCAATGGGAGTCTTTCCATTGTCTTTAGTGGACATGGGATTGGGCCCTCCAGCTCTTGCCACGTACGGCAGAACCCTAGCATTGGTAAGCTGCCAGATCAGCGCCTTCCTTCAAAAGCATCTCTTTCTTGGATGAAGTCACGTTAGCTGCCTTCAAAAGGTGCGCTGTATTATTGTCATCCCCACCTTGTTTGTGGAGGGAGAGGGGGGCTGTATTTGATCATGAACCCCTGCGAAAGATGGGTGACTACACATCAAATAATGCCAAAGGGGGATAACATTCAAATGGGGAAACCCCCCAACTTTGCAATAGTTTTTATGGCTAGGAATCTTCACGCCTGACCTTGGAGAGCATTTAAGACTAAGCCTGTGCATAACACACTGGTGAGGAGCGAACCAGCGTACTGCAGCGTATTTCAGCATCCAGGAAGAATGATCCAGCTAAGGTGAATGCATATGCAGAGCTATTGAGAGAAGTTCCGACATCCTGGAAGCCTTTTGCCCGCTGGCTCTAACTCAACCACAAAGCCTATCCCAGATATTGGTGCTACTGGCGTAAACAAAGAGATGACGGATCCCACCATTCAACTATGCCTCTGGACGAGTGAGCGAGCGAGCAAGCGAGCGAGATATGAAGTCCAGCTGCAGCAGTCTGTGCATTTGTGGCCACGGCAGTAAACCTGGGATTCTACAGCGAGATCCGAGAGAGACCATCAGCGAGGAATCTAAGCCCACCCTAGAAATTCCATCACAGCCAAGTCATTTGGAGCATTTGCATAATGCTTTCCGGTTTGAGTTGTTAACAGCTCCTCTGTGCTTCCCCCCCACCCAGGGGCAATTAAGCCTCACTCGCCATTCCCAGGGGGGATACCCCCCCCCCTCCCCCCCGAGGGGCAGCTAAGCCTCACTCGCCATTCCCAGGGGGGATACTTGGATGCAGAACCCCAACCTCCTTTCTGGGATGACTTCATCGCAGTCTGTTTGAAACCCACAGGCATGCCAGGTCACAGGGTCTGGCCCCGCCCCATCTTTGATTCAGCCCCCTTGACTGCAGCAGACTGAGGCCAGAGGTACAGCTGGCCCGGGAAATTCCCATACAAAGGGAGACTTCCTCCGGAGCGGGAGGCAGCCGTTCCCAGCGGAGAACCCCCGTGAGAAGCCACATTAAGAGCATCAGGCTAAACTCCCCTATTTTCCCAGGCTTTCCCCACGATAGCCAGGACTGCAAAACGGCAAGACGGCTTTGCTTTCGCTCGCCTCCTCGTAACCCACCCCGAACGCAACCCTTCAGCACGACGGTGTGTCAGAGGGGGAGAGCACAGGGCCCTCATAGAATCATAGAGCTGGAAGAGGCCTCAGGAGGTCTTCGAGTCCAGCCCCCTGCCCAAGGCAGGACCAATCCCAACTAATCCCTCGTTAGACTAGAATTGCATCCTCATAGTCAGTGTCTAGATACTGTGGAGCCGGGGGCATTACAAGCAGCCCTGAGGGCTTTGAGCAAAGCGTTATGCACGGTTTGCCCCAGTATCCTGTGCAGCATTTCAAAGCAACCCCTGCTGACAAACCCTAAGTCCCAGAACATGACAGAAAAAGATTCAGTCAGCAAGGTAGCCGAATACCAATCCCTTCCTTCCGAGTCTGCCCTAGAGAACGCTAACGAATCCTCCATTGTTTGTCCTGAAATCTATGGAGAAAAATACTAGTCAGGTTACAGCTGAAGATGCTTTTTGTGGGTTAAAAGCTGTGGTTTTGAGTAATACATCAGTGATCGTGTGCTGATAGTGCATTACACTAATATATCACGAAAGCGATAGTGCTGGTATGATGTATTAGTGCAATACATCATCTGAGCATCACTGCTCCAGGGATCTAGTGTGCAAAAGCAGCCCGCAGTCTGAACATTGCTCATTGGTACCACCGGGCCCTCACGGTCGCATTTGGAAAATGAAGGATTTTCAAGAAAAAAAAAAGTGGAGCTTAAAAGTTACTGGACGAGAAGGCTTTTATGGAGCTCCTTAGATGTAAACCATCACATTCTGAAAATAACCTGCCAGCCACTTGCTTTCCTTCTGGAGCGTGCGGGTCTTGGTCTTCCTGGCACATGTATATTTGAATGCGCCTCTGTCCATTTATCTACCGTTAGCTAGCTGATATCAGGCTATAGACAAAGACAGAGCTGATGCAAAGAAACAGAGCTATTTTTAATAGTCGTTTTGTTTCTGTGGGAGTGTCCCGAGGTATGTTTGGCAGAGGTGCTACATAAGACAAGAGACGGACACTGTGGGAAACTCAAGTAGGAACATGTTCCAAAATCTTCTGAAGTCAATGAGAAGGCGCCTATTGATTTCAGCGGATTTGAAATCAGGCGCGCAGCCTAATAAAACAGTCAGATGCAGCGCACTGTAAATCTCTCCTAATGTGACCCGCCTTGGAGAAAGACTGTCTGTGGTCAGAATTCAGAAGGAGAAATGCCAAAGAGAAGCCAATCCTTACCCCCCCCCCCATCTTCTCCCTTACCACACACACACACACCCACACACACACACCAGCCACCTTTATATCACCATCTGGGTTGGTTGTTTAAAAACAATCGGACCATGCATGGTTTTGCTCACTCTTTTTGCATTATGTTTCAACGGAACCTGATGTGTGGTATAATAGAATCTCTCCACACTATAGAAAAACAAAGGGGTAACTCTGGCCACGTAAGAAAGCAGGTGTTTGACTGCCGATATCCCAAACGCGTTTGTTTTTTATATTAAATGTTCTGAAAAGAACACAGAGGCTGCCCTGAATTCTCCCCACTGTTTGTGTAATAGACTCAAGCAGGAGCAGCGAGATGCAATTACATCTGAAGTGGTTTCCGTCTCCTCTGCTTTCCTGAGAAAATAAGGGGATAAAATAGCAGCATGAACCTGGAGTTGCCATGTGGTGAGAACCATCTGGGAGAAGGAACTTACGCCTTCTTTAATTTGCTTTCCAATTGAACAGCCTGCTGGCTGGGATTTTTTTAAGGGGGGGGGAGGGGCACGCAATTCTTCATCCATTGTTTTCTTTCAGGAAGGCCACAATCCAGCAAGGCCCGTGAGCATGGGCTCAGCTGCAGCATATGAAGAGAAGCGTAGAATCGTCAAATCGTAGGGTTAGAAGAGACTTCAGGAGTCCAACCCCCTGCCCAAAGCAGGGCCAATCCCAACTCAATTATCCCAACCAGAGCTTGGTCAAGCTAGGACTAAAACACAGCTGTGGATGGAGATTCCACCCCCGCCCTAGGGAACCCATCCCAGTGCTCCCCCCCCCCCAGTGAAATAGTTCTTCCTAAAATCCAACCTAGACCTCCCCCACTGTAACTTGAGACCATCGCTCTTTGTTCTGCCATCTGCCCCCACTGAGAACAGCCTCTCTCCAGCCTCTCTGGATCTCCCTTGCAGGTAGAACCATCAGGTTGATTCCACGAGCTGATCCACGGGCTGGCAATTAAGCTTGTGGTTTAGGGCGTTGTGGAAGGCGGCCCACGTTTGGTTCTCAGACTCCATGTGACGGCCAGAGACTATGGGCCGGATCCTCCACCTGGCAGCGCTGAGAGGTTCCAATGGCACAGAACAGCCCTAGAAGAGGCTGAAGAGCCATTTGAAGATTTCCCCCAGCCAAAAAGGCAGCATGGGCCTGCGTATGGAGCACTTGACTCCTACTCCAGCCAGGCTTCTGATACGTACATCAGGCAAGTAACATAGCTGCTCCATGCCTCAGTTTTCCCTCCCACCCTTCACCAAACTTGTCTTTTTAAACCACAAGGCTGTGTCTAGACGAGCAAGTTTTTCTGCAAAATCATTTGATTTTGTGGAAAAACTTGCCAGCTGTCTACACTGGCTGCTTGAGTTTCCACAAAAACACTGGCTTCCTACTGCAAGAAATCAGTGCTTCTTGTGGAAATACTATTCTGCTCCCGTTCAGGCAAAAGTCCCTTTTGCGCAAAGCTTTTGCGTAAAAGGGCCAGTGTAGACAGCTCAGATTTGTTTTCCGCAAAAAAGCCCCAATTGCGGAAATGGCGATTTTTGGAAAAGCGCATCTAGAAGTGCTTTTGTGGAAAAGCGTCCGTGCCAATCTAGACGCTCTTTTCAGAAAATGCTTTTAACAGAAAACTTTTCCATTAAAAGCATTTCTGGAAAATCATGCCAATCTAGACGCAGCCCAAGTGTTT